TCAACGATAGTGTAACGTAACGTAAAATGTACGTTTTTGTACGTTACGTTACAATAATGTGTAACGTTTGGTTATATTCTATATAACGTGAACGTTAAACGTTAACGTCATAGGAGCTCATACCTAACGTTAATGTTAAACGTTAACGTTAGAGGAATATACCCCCAACGTTAGCGTTTTGTGAAAATGTAACGTTATTTTTCTAATATCTACAACTTTTTTGACCATAACGTAAAGAAATGTTTTGTTTCCAAGGGGAGCTCGAAAGTCTAACGTTTGAAAAATGAATTGTGATTTGATTGAATATCGTAACGAAAGGATTTCTATTTCAAAGTTCAACTTATAAAAAGTGTAACGTTGTATAACTGAAAAAATGCATTACTGTTTATGAAAATGTTTTGAAACGTTTTCCCTTATAGTATAGTGAAAAATTCAACGTTGCAGAAATGGGTTATTATTTCAATAATCAGGAAACGAAAGTTTTTTTTACAGAGTATAAATTTCAATAATGTAACGTATAACATTTAAAAAAATGTAATTCTGTAAACTATAATGTTTCATAACTTTTCTCTGAATACTAAATTGATTAGTCTAACGTTAGATATATGTCTGATGAAAATATTGTTCATAAAACGTTAGACTATGAAGGCTGGGTTTTAATTTCAAAAGTGTAACAACAATTCTGTCAATCAAAACATTTCAAAACGTCTCTAATATATCAATGTAAGAGATTCGACTGATGATTATAAGAGCAAAGACTTATGGTTTTTCATTTCAAGTTCAAAAAAAATGAGTTTATGCGGAAAACTCTAATTTTCATTTAATATATCTTTGCAACCCGATGTCATAGACCATTAATATCGAAATATACAAGGTTTAGACCATCGGGTTAAAAAGAAATAGGGATTAGTAAATTTAAAAAAAAATTAAAGTGTAAAAGAGTTTTTTTAGTGAAAATTCATATTTTTTATATGTTTCTTGGACATCTTGTTTGATAAAACCCACTAAAACTCTGGAAAAGAAAGACGACATTAAGAAATTTTACATATGCATTTTCTGTTATAAAGCAAATGATTTACTAATTGTAAAAAAATCAACTTAAGTGGAAAGGGTCTGTGAACAACAAACACAATTGCTGGGTTTCATATTTATTTGACTAATTGAAATCATAACTTCAGTTGGCATGGTTCATGTTTTAGGTTGAAAAATTTAGAAATGTAGATACTTACTAAAATGCAACAATATTTTATCAATTGGAAAATGCGTGTTAAGTTTTATTCATCAATAGACTTTTATGAAACTTTAGAATAGAAAAAAAACTGATTTTTAAATAGATTTTTTTTAAAACAGAAAAAATTGTTAACTAATTTTATTTCGCGTGGTTTGTGTTAAACAACAATTAGCACTTGTCTTACTATATTTGATATTTTTACCCCCAAACATGAACTCTGAAAACATTTTCATTGTGGTTTGTAAATTAAAGCTAATGCCGCTTTTTTACTCAATTTGTAAGTAATATAAAAAAAAACACAAAAAGAACTAAAAATTCGCCACAAATTATAATTTTCTAATCTCTACATCTTTGCAAGCTGGTGTTGTAGACTTTTGATATTTCAAGCTATGACTTCTGTTAGATAAGAATCTTTAGTTTGAC